CCCACAAACACTGCCCCCATACACACACTACACACACTGCCCACAAACACTGCCCCCATACACACACTAAACACACTGCCCTGCATCCCATACACACACTGCCCCCATACACACACTGCCCAACAAACACTGCCCCCCATACACACATTGCCACACATACACACATTGCCCACACACACATACAGTGCCCCCCCATACACACTCCTCCAAACACACATACAGTTCCCCCCATACACACTCTGCAACTCTCACACACACACTGCACCGCTCACACACTGCCCCACACATACACTGCCCCTTAACACACACACTGGAACCCTGACATAAACTGCCACCTAACGCACTCGCACACACATTTCACCGCTCACACACACACACACACTGCACCTTTCACACACTTCACCCCTAAAACTTACCACTGCTCCTATACCCTATATCCCAGCAGACCCCAGGTAAGTTGTCAAACTGTTCTTAAACGGTTTGACTACTTACTCTGAGATGGGATCCTGGCACTACTAGCACCATAACTACTACACTGAGCTGTAGTGGTTATTGTGCCTGGATTATTTCTTTAAATAATCTACAAGTGCCCCTCCCGAGATCAGGCTCTGGATCTGCCCCTGCACAGTATTCCCCCCTCCTACACACCATGACCCCGCTCCCTCACAGTATCATCCACCTCCCTCACAGTATATCACCTCCCTCTCAGTATTACCCCATCCCACACACTATCACCCCCTCCCTCACCAGATCACCCCTTCCACACACACACAAACTGTCACCACCTCACACACACAGTATCATCCCCTTCACACACAGTCACTCTCCCTTATACACACTGTCACCCCTACAATGTGGTGTCACCATACTCATACACTGTCACATTCCCACACATTGTCACCCGTCCTCACACTGTCACCCCCTCCACACTTTCAGCCCTTTCATGCATCCACACTCTTACTAACCACTCCTAGTCCTGTTATTCTCACCCCCTCCAAACTCACCTGCCCTCTCTTTGCCACACTCATTAATCCCCTTAATCCTGGCACACTCCTTCCTCCAACCATGACACATTCACCCTTCACTCCAAAACTGTAATACTCACCCCACCCCAACTATGCCACACTTACCGTCACTTAAATCTTAAATTTTCATTTTTGTTTTCGAGAACCCCTTCACACCAGTACTTATTTATACACGACTGCCGGGCTATGTGACCATACCCCACAATTGTGTATAAACGATTGGCATAATTGCAAATTAAATTTATTTATTGCAAATTAATTTTGTTTGCAAAATGTGCTACAACTATAGCCAGAGAGCTCACAATGCAGGGGCACAGGAAGCTCTGACATTGCAAGCTTCTGAACAATGAATGCAGAGACTGACTCTCTGTATCCAGTGCTGCAAGCACGCCTCTCGATATAGCAAATGCTCCTTACACTTATACAAAATACAAGCCTATTATTTTATACTTTGGGTGTAAGTGGGGCCTCATGCTTGAAGTTCGCCTAAGGCCTCATAAAGTCTAGAGCCGCCTCTGACTGAGATTATCAAGATTAATGATCTCAGCCATGAAAGTGGAGCAAGGCGGGGCCAGCTGCAATGAGACCGGTGCGGAAAAAGCAAAAAGATGGGTAAAATAATCTTTTCAAAGCGAGGCATGGTGGCCAGATTCCTAAACAGCCAAAACAGGACTATAGTGTCAGGAATACATGTTTGTACTTCTGACACTATGCTGTTCCTTTAAATACAAACAAATGCATCTAAAATCCACATTTATATAAAAGAGAAAAAAGTCCTTTCTGGTCTAGGATTTTAAGGGACCTGACAGTCATAGTACTTCATGTGACAGAATAAAAAAAATGTTCCATTTTGGAAAAATGGGCAGAAACATTCCTTTTGGTTTCCATGGTGACAGTTCTAACTGTGAAGAGACTAGCAGATGCCTGGGTGCAGATTTTTTTATTTGTTTTTTTGTTGGTGCCTCCGGTCTGCGTGATCACCTTACAAATGTCCAGAAATGCATGTTTCTATGGCAATAACTCCCCTCTCCATATATAAGCCCCACCCCCTTTTTGTAATCAGAATGCTTTAACAGAGTGTGGGGTGGGTGACAGTGTGTGTGGAGGTTGTATTGTAGTGAAACACCTTTTTTAAAACTAGTAATTAGTGATGTCCCGAACGGTTCGCCGAACGGTTCGAGCTCAAGCGATCTCTACTACATGGAGTGCAGCTCTGCAATCGATTACTAGTAGTGATGTGCCGAACGGACTCATCATTGAGTAAACTTTGACCCTGTTCCTCACAGTCAGCAGAGACACATTCCAGCCAATCAGCAGCAGACCCTCCCTCCCAGACAGCTCACTAAGAATGCAGCTTCACAATGAATGTAAAATGGATGCTGTCCAGGAGGTACAGGGTCAAAGTTTACTCAATGATGAGTCCGTGGCGAACCGTTCGGCACATCACTACTAGTAATCGATTCCCTGGTGCTCCAGTGGGATGATTATTGGGTCTGCAGCCCTGCCAGATGCAGAGCTGCACTCCATGTAGTAGAGATCGCTTGAGCTCCAGAACCTATAGCAACGTCCTGACTGCCCGAGCTTGCAAGATGTCTACTACATCTCTCTGCAGACTGGAGGTGATGGGATCTCATTCCCCTGGGCAGACTGGATGCAAACAGGCCTTTGGTCACAGACATTCTGCACTAAAGTTAGTTAGGTGGCTGCAAGGCCCCAGTCAGTGCAAGGACTGAGGCGGCTGCCTAACTTGCATAATTAGAGTGCCACCACTCTCAGAGCCCCCTTTCTGCACCATCCCAGGATTTGCTCTGCATGCAGGGTTATACAGTAAACTCCACATTGTATCAAATTACAGGAACACTCCAAGCACCATAACCACTACAGTCTGCTGCACCCTGCACTCACCCACATTGCACATACAATGCACCCCACAATTACACACTGATATTTCACTTCAACGTGTCCTCCATTCTCACATAAAACGTTTGTCGAATGCACCTCTCATTCATACACACACAGAGCTATCCAATATAGCCCAGTGTAGAGAATTGAAATGCTAATGGCAAAACGTAGGCTAAATTAGCCGATTTGGAAAAATGATTCAACTGACATATAGCCACAGTTTTGCTATCTGGTGTTTAATCAGCAACAATATGCAGTTTAGTGAATATAACCCACTTTGGATTCCTACAAGCTGAACTCTTATTGGCTGCAATTTGAGTTAATATGCAGGCTTTTTGGGAACTGAAACATCATTGTCACCCAGTAACCTGTGATTTGAGGTGCCTTGTTAACCCTTGCTTATTTTTGCGCAGTTATCCCATAGAGGGTGTGTTCTCCTTGGTGTACGTGAATGTCAAACTATATGGCTTAAATTGTGTTTTATTTTACCCATCCCGATATATATATACTGCCTTCATAAATGTACCCTTTGCAGAGCAAACCTTCCGCAGACATGATAAGAAAAATATATATGCAAGTAAGGGGTTTATTTACAAGAGTCTGAATTGCCCCAATTCGGATTTGCAAACAATATCCAGATATTTTACCTTATTATAACGATGCTATGTTTTGTGGGCCCGGGACATACTTGAAAACGAGAGAAATCCCAATGTATCCATCCTGCTAAAATATTTTATAAATAAATTAGATCATTCGGACTACAAAACCAAAAAAAATTTCACACTATTTCACAATATGTGGATTTCAACCTACAGAACCAATGATTGAATTACAGATTCAAATATTTAATGTACAGGCCATATTTTAAAAAGTAAACCTATTGGGCTGCTGGTTGTGCTCTAAGGGGAAGGGGGTGTCTGCCCCCCCTAATCTACAGTGAACAGGGGAGCACAGACAGGTCTCATTTTTTCTAATTTCCTATATAAGTGCTTAGGTAATGGGTTACTAATGATTCAATGGCGGCTGTCTGATAACCATTTAGTAGATATGCCCCCACTCCTTGCATGGCAAGTGGTGGTATAAAGAAGGATTTTAATCAATCTATTATATGAAGGTCACATTGACCCCCACGTAACTTTGCCATTCAGATTTTATTTCAGTAAAATTTTGATATTTTTTTTGTTTGTTTATAATCCACCTTTAACCCTTTTACTCTGTTTCTGTAACACACAGTATGTGCGTGGTTTATTCGCTAAACTTTAAAATGTAAGTTTGAAAAACTTATGCTAAAATATCCAAGCTGTGACTATAGCGGAGTTGAAAAACATTTTTAAAATTAACGTTTTTTTTTGTTTATCTAAATTGTACAGCTGTTTTAAAATGACTAAAATATACTGGATAAACCCATGCTGGCTTTGCTTCAGAACAGGTGCTCTCATTAAACCTGCTAAGACTTTGATTGCTCCTCCTGTGAAGATTAAGACACCACAATGTACATTTTGAGTAGGGAAACAGCATAATACATTAAGCAAGAGTCACGGGTAGGTAAATATCAAATTATATTGAGGAAAATTTGTCAACATGCTGTGTTCCTAAAAGCAATGCAAAATACTAAGATTGGAGCAGTCACCATGGAAACAAGTGCAGGTGCATTGCATTGGTGACCCCCCTTCCCTTCCCTTCCCTTAATTTTTGCAACACTTTTCTGAATAGAATACTTAGAAACACATCTCATTGTTACAATATCTAATTTAGAATGAGTTATGAAAACTGAGTGCAGGAACTGTATGGGCTGTGCCTGTGTTTCCAGGGAGTGCTTTTATAGCAACACAGGAAGCAAAATAGACAGCACATGAGTACCAGTGAATGGTCCTCAGTGATACACAGTGCTGATCTGCTGTATGGGAAGCTGTGTCTCTGCTCATTGTATTTATTGACATTATTTATTGCCAGGAAAGGGCAGTTTGTGGAGCAGCTAATGGACATACAGGACTAGCACAGGCTTAATAAATTCTTACCCCCAGGAGCTGACAATCTAGTGTTTCTGCATTGAGGATAATACAGATTAATACAAATTCTCCAGAGTCTGGGTGTTAAACTTCAATCAACATCTCCAAAAGGCAAGTGCCTTGATACATCCCCTTTGTATGACAACACAATGATACTTAGACAGATACAGGGAGTTATTCACTAAACAGTGAATTGGAGTTAAACTGGCACAATCCAGGCTAAAATAGTCAAATTGAGACTAGCTGAGTTTGCAATTCTTCCATACTGACTATTTTGGTCTTAATTGTGTTTATATTAATTTGGTGACTAGTAAATGCACCTCGTGGTTGAGGTTTTTTTCCCCCCTTCAAAGTTACTTAGAATGTAATCCTATTGCTTTATTACATTTAAAAATATATATATAATTAGGTTTCCAGTAAACTACAAATGCGTATTAAGTGGGTATAGTAATGAAAAAAAACTAAATTAGGGTGCTGACAAATGTCCTTTAATAATGAAGCTGCTATTTAGATGTGGTGTAACACTAGTTACTATACACAGGAGGCAGGTATGGATGTTTAATAGTTTTTTTCACTTATGATTTGAAGCTATGAAGAAATGTTTGTTTTACTAGATGTGTGTTCTTTGCATATTATTATTTGATATACCTGAGATTTAATATAAACGTTGAGCTGCAGCAGCAGTGCTTATAAAGCTATTGCTATAATTGTATCATTTGGTGTAAACAATCATTACACATGTGATTAAATAGATATTTTGTTTAACTTCAGTGTCATGAATAGACACTTTCTCTCATACTAAAATAATGTTTCAGATCTGCAATAATGTTTACTTTTTTTAAACTACATTACTGAAACTGATCAGCTGTGTGAGTAAATCTACTGGTGATCTTAAAGGGACACTCCAAGCCCCATAACCATTACATCACACTGTTGCGGTTATAGTTGCAGGAGTGCACCTCCAGTGTAAGTAGTCACAACCATTTTAGAATGGTTTTATTTATTTCCTGGGTTCCTCTCCCCACCTCCACACTCTCAGCTAATATTTATCTTTGTTAAATTCTGTATTTATTGATTCACGTGCTGTTCTCTTTAATTTTCACATGCAAAAAGTAGCATTGCAACTGGTGAGCTCACATTTTAAAGCAGGTTTCCCCAAACTCCTGCCCTCCAGATGTTGCTGAACTACAACTCCCTTGATTCTCAGGCTATCTATTTCATTCATAGAATCATGGGAGTTGTAGTTCAGCAACATCTGGAGGGCTGGCGTTTGGGGAAGCCTGTTTTAAAGGAACACTTTGAAGCATCATAACCACTGAAGCTTATTTTAGTGTTTATGGTGCCAGACGTGCCCTGCTTTCACCCACTGGTGTAAATAGTCAAACTATTTAAACCTTTGTCAGCAAGGATTGCTCCAGCCACATAAGCTTATATCATGGCGAGTGCTTGGGAACATATTTATTGAGGTTTTTTGCTAAACATGCACATGGCGGTAGATTTAAAAATCAGATTGCTAAAATAGTCATGCTGGGACTATAGCAGAGTTGTGGAATTTTTCCAAATGAGCACTTTTGTAGTTTTCAGTAAACTACAATATGATATTTCACAAAATCCATTGTAAGTGCTTTCTACTTAAATATGAGATCAGTTTTGTGTCTGTTTATAGGCATAGTGAGAATGAACATAGGTTCTGCACGAATAACGTCTTGTCTCCCTGTGACAATCTGGAACCAGCTAACCTCAGCTAGTATTAAATGGTTGATTTAGACACCATTACCACTTCACTGGTTTTCAGTGGTCATAATGTTTGGAGTTTGTATGTGCAAAATTTCAGATGAGAAGAGATTTTCGTCCAAGACAAAAAGTCTGTAAAGTAGATGGAGAGGAGACCTATGTGAGAAGTCCACTCTAATTCTGCTGTGTTCACCAGCATATGTGTCAACTAGAGATGTATTCATTAAACAGCTTATTTTAGTAAGCTGAAAACAATAGCAAAATAGCTGATTTGGGGAAATTTAAAAAATCACCTACAATCCTATAGCTTAACTATTTGAGCATTAACTTTTTTAATTCTGGTTTTCACTTCAGTACAACTGACTGTTTAGTAAATAATCCTCAAACAGTTGATTGATTCTTACAGCTGCTCTCTGGCACTGAAAGGGTTTATAAAGCTTCTCCATGTGGTTTCTGTTTGACAACTATCTGGTTCAGTATACCATGGGTTTACTTTTCGTTTTGTTGAGCTAGGGGGACCTCTGGTGGTAGGAATATGGTACATGGTAGGCTACTGAATTTGAACTGTTCCTTTCCTGATTTCCAATATTAATCAAAAATAGATTTCTGTTTTCATCCGCAGTGCCATGGCAGCCCTAAAATACGCAGGCTTGGATGACACGGACAGTGAGGATGAGTTGCCACCAGGATGGGAAGAGAGGAGTACCAAGGATGGATGGGTTTACTTTGCAAAGTAAGATGCTCAAAATACAATCAAAAACAGTTGATGTATATTGAGAGCTTATAAAAAAGTGTAATAATTGACAGTGCCGAAAAAATAAATCTCTTAGCTGTTACCACACTGTGATGTGCAATGTCACAAACACACCCTACTTCAAGATTGTGCGTGATGTACTTGTGATGGTAAAGGGGTTAAAGTTCACTATTTGTCTGCACTAGACCGAAAATAATGATACAATCCCACTTAACACCACCCACACTTATGCATAATATAAATATTACTATTTTAACGCTGCCACCACCAAGACAATTTATAAATGGGATGCCTTGGTCCCCGAGGTAAATCAATAATAAAAACCCACCAAATGTAACTTAGCACAAAAGCTATGTAATTGCAAAATACTAACTAGTCTCTTCAGGTAACATGATTCTTTATCAGACAAAGGCAGAACTTGATAAAGGAATATTTATTATGAGCAAAAAATAGTCACAGTGCAAACAAAAATATGACAATCAAAATTATTTAAACCAACAACAGATAAAAACAAAATAACAGATGAAATAACAGAAGTCCTAATTACTCACTCAATTTTTTAAAGTACCCCTTCTGCTACAGGGGATCTCTGCTAAGAAAGATGGTGACTCACTTAGAAAAAGATTCTGGCCCCTCAAGCAAGTACCAGGCACACTTCAGTATCACTAGAGATATACCCTGTGGGATTACCATGCTGTCAGGTATAGCATGGCATGTAATTTATCGCCGGAACCCACTTCCGGGTTCACGGCGCTCAGCCCCGCCCCTTTCTCTGACGCGGTCCCTCCACGATACTTAGGAGGACCGCGCCAGATTCAAAGGGCTGGATTATTCGCACAGGTGCTGCATGAAGATCAGCTGCTCTACTTCTGATCCTACCTGCTCCACTTCTATACCTCGGCTAGTAAACGGATTTCTACCTTCTCCACTTCTCGACCTCGGCTTGTAAACGGATTTCTACCTTCTCCACTCCTAGACCTCGGCTTGTAACTCTGAATTCTACCTTCTCCACTCCCAGACCTCGGCTTGTTAAAACGGACTTCCCCACTCTCCACTCCTAGTTCTCAGCTTGTTGAAACGGACTTCTAATTTCTCCTTCATTGGGTGAATTAACCCTTCCAGTGCCAGAACTGCCTTTAAGTTAAGTAATACTTTTACCAAACAAGTCAATTACTATTATTTATATTACACAGTATCTAAAACTCACTAAAGTGTCACTTTGTCTAATTATTCCTCTTACTCATAAGGGATTGCTACAAAGCCTAATTTTACCTACATGGATATTTAAAGGTACAGTGACCATAGTTTCATACCAATATAAAAGGAGGTGAACCTTATTGTTGTTGCAACCAAGAAATGCTGCAGTTGAGTTCCAATTAAAGAAATATTACAAAATAAATATTACACATGCCTTACCCAGAGGTGGAGTTAAGGCGTATCTCTAGAGACACTAAGTGACCACCCCTTTGTGTCCAGACCCACATTAATCCCAATATAAAAATGTGGTTCTATCTTCTCTTATGTACCTGCCACAGAAATAGTAATTGCATCTACAAATTTATTATTTTTCCATTCCATAGATATGTTACATACCTTACTTGCGACCCAATATAGCGGACATCAAAATCCCTTCCCCTATGGTTAAGTTATGCCAAACATGTTTGGGCTTGTTTAGAAGATGGCGCTGGTCACATTCCAAATATAACAAAAAGGAGGCTTAATTATTATTCTGTGGGTAAATATTAATGTTTTTTCTTTTGGATATGATACTGAAACAAGGCTAATGACCATTAACATATCAAAGAGACTGACTGACTCATCAATTAAGAAGTACATGCCAAATGGCTGAAGCCAGACATTCTGGCTTTTCAAGTGTAGAATCTCACACCTTGCAGAGCCTTTGATTAATCACAGGATGCATCTTTCCCTTTTTACATTCCTATGCAATTTATACTACCCCTTCTGTCATATGACCTCTGTGGGGTACCCAGCTTCAAAGACAATATTCCATAGTGCAATTTGTGAATATGAATAAACAATACACCTAGTGCAATCAAAGAATGTTAATATACCATTTGTTTATGTATTCTTAAACATCCAATGCCGTGTATACCTTTAAGATAAATATAAAAAACAGAAATAGTGCAGTACCTTTTTGTACACAAGTATAATATACACACAAAATGGGGCACTCACATGTTCCAGAGCTATAACCTAAAAAAGGAAGTGACATCACCAAAACTGAAATTATTGACAATCCTTGACAGAAAGGGGCTTGGAACACCGGAAGAACGCACCTGAAGGAGATCACAGTACTTATGGATATGGGGGGGTGTGTGTGTGTGTGTGTGTGTGTATATATATATATATATATATATATATATATATATATATATACCCCGCACAAAAAAATAAAGGGAACACAAAAATAACACATCCTAGATCTAAAAATTCTTCTGAAATACTTTGTTCTTTACATTTTTCAACCCATGGAGGTCTGGATTTGGAGTCAAACTCAAAATTAAAGTGGAAAAACACACTACAGACTGATCCAACTTTGATGTAATGTCCTTAAAACAAGTCAAAATTTGGCTCCGTAGTGTGTGTGGCCT